AGGGTGTCTGGAGAGAAGGCCCCATGCTTGTGTTTCTCAGGAAAAGCTGGCGGCAGCTGGAAAATGGCAGCAGAGCCTCACAGTCCCGTGGCTCCTTCCATGGTGGGGGCTTTCTCCCTCCCTCCTGCACCACAACCCGTCTCCAGGCCTCCCGTCCGGATGCTTGATGGATGGACAGCCAGCCACACCATGGCGGGTGTTTCCGTGCGATGTCCCCCGGGGCAGGCTGTCGGCAGTGGCTCCTGGAGATGGTATCTCCCTGCGAGCTCGACAGCCGACAGACAGTGCTTCTCTGTGCATCTCCCCAAAGAAGCCCTGTCTTCGTCTGCATCCTATATGGCATATTTTATGGTAATCTACACATGACGTGCAGGTTCCTGGCCCTCTGTCCTGAACCAAGTAACACTGGAAAGAGGCAGAGCCCGGGAGCGTGTGTAGTGGCGCGTTTGCATTTTTAAATGACCTGGGATTTAATTACTTGCAGTGCTCTGCACTGCAGACACATCTTGCTGTCCCACTAATGAGCTCGGGGCCCTGCAGCCCAGTGAGGCTGGCCTCCCGGCGCGCAGGGCGCAGGCTGGGGCACTGGTGTCAAAGCTGGTGGCTTTGATCTGCGCCTGAGAGGACGGTTGTCCCGTTCGTGCCCTGAGAGAAGCCACTGCTGTTTCTCACTAGCAGTGTTTCTCTTGTTTTGCTTTTGTTTGTGATTTTTTTTAGACGTTCGATGCCTCATCCCTTGTTTGTGTAAGGGGCTTTTTCTTATTTGGGAACCCATTTGCTTCGCTTTGCACAGAAGCTGTCTCTGGTGTGACGGATCGTGCTGGAAGTCACCCAGGGAGGGAGTGTCTCTGTTCCCAATTAGAATCGGAGGCAGAGCTGCTCTCAGGCGGGAGGCGGCCAGTGTGGGTGACAGCTGCTGCGGCCCTGGAGAAGCAGTGCCTGTGGCTCATGGCGCGTGCGTGGAGTTGGCAGATGTAGAGAGCAGTCGTGTGTGTGGCAGGCCACCTTCTTTTAAGTGAGGTGCTCGATGGCTCCTGGCAGGTTTGTAACCCCAAATGTGTATGTGGGGTCAGAATGAGCTCACTCTTGAGGAACTGTAAGCCCGTGTATTAGGACAGGAGCGTGTTTAGGACGTGTGCTGTGCTGGGGCTTGGACCTATTACTTTCCTTTCCCCTTCTTGCTGGACCTCCTGTGGTCAGAAGCAGAGAACGCCCCCTGCTGGTGTGCGGGAGTGTGGCCACCCTTTCACTTGACCCTGCAGGCCTTACCCATAGTGCCTCGCAACCAGGGTTGCCAGGGGTCCGAGAGCACTCTGCTCTTGGAATGGTGCCCGGCTGGGTATTAATTACATAGGCTACATTGAGAACCGTATTTACAGGTGTGGTGGCGCGCATCGTAGTTGCAGTACTTGGGAGGCTGAGGTGGGAGGAGCACTTAAACCCAGAAGGTCAAGGCTGCAGCAAGCTATGATCACACCATAGAGCAAAACTCTGTCTCCACCAAAAAAAAAAAAAAAAAAAAAGAGGGGAAATAAATAAAAAGTACTCTTTTTTAAAAAGAAAAAACTATGTTTACATCCTTTCTATCTTTTGGAAGCAAGATCATAGTAAATGTGACTTTTAATGCTGTAAACCTGCACTATCTGATACGGCCGCCAGTGGTCATGTGTGGCTAAGGAAAGCTTGTATGTGGCCGGTCTGAATGTAGTGTGCTGACTGGAAAGGCACACCAGGCTTTGGAGGCTTCATATGAACATGAGAATGTAAAATATTGAATCGATATTTTTACATTGATTTCATGTTGAGATAGTAATGTTTTGAAAATACTGGATTAGGCAAAATATCTTATTAGAATTAATTGTACTTTTTAGAAAAGTCAGGTCTCACTCTGTCACCCAGGGTGGAGTATAGTGGCATGATCATGGCTCACCACAGCCTCAACCTTCAGGGCTCAAGCAATCCTCCTGCCTCAGCCTCCTGAGTAGCTAGGATGACAGGCGCACTCTACCATGCCTGGCTATTTTTTGTGTAAGTGTGTGTAGAGACGAGGTCTCACTGTTGCTCAGGCTGGTCTTGAACTCCTGGCCTCAAGTGATTCTCTTGCCTTGGCCTCAAAGTGCTGGAATGACAAGCCTGAGCTGCCATGACCAACCTTGCACTTACTTTTTAAAACTTGGCTACTAGAAGGTTTAAAATGACATAGGGGCTTGCATTACATTTCTGTTGGATGGGCAGCTGTCCCAGTACAGTCATAACTGGTCAAACTGTGGCAGTAATGATATCTGGCACTTGCAGGGCCCTGGCAGCACTACAGGCTCCTCACATACACAGTCTCATTTGGAATCTGAGTTTTGACTAGAATAGAACAAACAAAATGGAGATGCCTCCTGTCCACCCTGCTTCTCACACTGACTGTGTGTGCATGTGGGGTCCTTTTGGGGTTTCTCATGCAGTGGACAGCCTTGCTTGACCCTCACACCATGCTGGGACGTGGGTGCTGTGGCCTCCACATGGGACATGTGAGGAAACACAGGCTTAGGTTATAGCTGGCACATGACTTTGTTCACGAATGGCCTGCCAGGGTTGGACACCAGGACCATCTGAACACAGAACCCACAAGAGCGGAGTACTTGGGAATTAGTGGAGTACTTGGGAATGAGGGGGGCTGAGGCCACAGCTATCCCTGTGGCCCCGGAAGGCTCCTCTGTGGGGGGTGAACCCCAGATGCCCCTAGACACCTCCCGGCTCTGCCTGTGAGTGAGCCATTGCACTCCTCCCATGCTGGATGTCTCCCTCTCATCCTCGTGCTGCCTGTTGGGTGAACCTGGCTAAAGGGGGAGTGCAGGTGGTGGTGTGTGCGGTGGAAGGAGGAAGGAGCAGAAGGCAGAGGCAGGCCTTCTGGGGGGAACATTCTGTATGGGGTGGATCCTGTTGTTGGGGGGGCAGTGCGCAGGGAGGGCTGCATAGAGCAGGACGCCAACCACGACATAGGCCCACCCCGGCCTTTGTCAGCTCTGCCTTCCACCTTGAGGTATGCTGCCAAGGAGAGCCTAGGAGTACCATGGAGGCACAGAGAGGTCTGGAAAAGCCTGGCAGGGAAGATCCCTAGGAGGCAGGGCGGAGTCTGTCGTCGACACATGAGCTTGGAGGCAGATCTGCGTTCAAGGCTGGACTTTGCTCCTTACCAGCAGTGCACATGGAGCAAGTCCTTGGCCTCCCTCAGCAGCCTGACTTCTTCTGTAAAATGGGTCGACGACAGTGCTCCTGGCTGTGTAGGATCTGGTGCCGAGTTGCATGCCACGTTCGCCACGCACCAAGCCCCTCCCCACAGACACACTGGAGCTGGAGCCCCGTCAGGCACAGTGGGGCCTGTTGGCCACAAAGGGCAGACAGCGGGGGCTCTCCTCACCACCTCAGTTAATGCCCTGGGGTGGTCATTTGGATGGTCTGTCCCACAGTGTGGCTTTTGGTGACGACTGGACCTGTCTGGTCTCAGTGGCCCTTTGCAGAATGGGAAGTTTGAGTGGGAGGGTCTGTAGGGTCATTTGAAAGGCTTGGAGTTCTGGAAACAGAGCTTATGTCGTGTTGAGAGGGCCCAGGGAAGCTGAGTTGTGGCTCCAAACACGTATGTGTGGTCAGTGTGAGTTTGTGGGATGGTTAACAGCTGTTCCTTCGACTGAGGATGGGACGTGAGTTCCACACTTCATTTGCCCCAGATGCAACATTTGGAAGATGCTTGAGTGCCAGGTGGTCAGAGCAGGCCACGGAGTGCACCTTGAACTCACTAGAACTCACGATCGACCCTGCTTTTCTTTGTTTGAGTCAGGGTCTCACTCTGTCGCCCAGGCTGGAGTGCCCCGGCATAATCACAGCTCATTGCAGCCTCAGACCTCCTGGGCTCAGCTGATCTCTCCACCTTGACCTCCTGAGTAGCTGGGACTATAGGTGCATGCCACCATGCCCTGTTAATTCTTTTATTTTTTTGTAGAGACGAGGTTTCACTATGTTGCCCAGGCTGGTCTCCAACTCCTGGCCTTAAGTGATCCTCCTACCTTGGCCTTCCAAAGCATGGGGATTACAGGTGTGAGCCTGTTGACTCTTTTTCTGACATGCAGATGTAGCCTCCTTACCTCCCAACTCCCCACTCTGAAGTAGACCCCTGTTATTCTCACATTCACTCTTGTTTCCCGCATAGCATGATGACACTTCGTAGTTGCGTCTTTGTGTTCAGTGCTTGTGTCTGCCTTGTAGACTGTCAGACTCCTAAAGGCAGGTTTCATCTCAGTCTGGTTGGCCTGCCACATCCTGTGTCTTAGCATGGCGGTGTCACCCGGCAGGCATGTGTGGGATGATTGCAGGGGCGGCTGATGAGTGGTGGTTGGTTGCTGGAAAGTCGGTCCTTTGCTCTCTTTTTTGGTAAGAAAAATTCTGAAGACTTTGTCTCTTGAGAGATGTTCTGATTCCCTTCCCACCCTCCTTCTGGGGCTGGTCCCCCATGCTTGTGCATTTTTTCCATTTTGATGTATGCCCAAGTATCCCCTCCTGGTGGATGGGTCAACCTTGCCTACTTCTGGAGGGGGACATGGGAGGGAGGTGGAACTTTGAGGGTCAGGACGGAGCTGCGGGGCAGGCTTGTTTCCCAGATGCCACGGGGACTGGGCAGGTGTGGGAGATAGGGACAGCTAGGGGCTATGTGAGGGATTGTACCAGCTTCCAGGATGCCCGATGTCAGTGGCTGCATTTCTCACCACAGGCCACCCGGGGATGGGTAGCTTGGCCCCTCGGAGGATGAAGTCGGCTCTGGGCTGTGCTGGGATGTACTCTGCGGCCAGCAGAGATATACGAGATGGGCCAGGCATCTGGGCCGCATCCCCCATGCCCCCGCTGGGCCTGGCTCCTTGCAGGCATGGGTGGCTCTGTCCTCACCAAGCAAGACCGGTGCAGGAGCAGACTGGCCCCATCCCAGCCCCTGGCCTGACCTGCCCCATCCTGTCTTGCAGAGGTGGAGCTGCCCCTGAGGAAGGACGGCGTTGCCTCAGAAGGTACCACGCTGGAAGCACTGCTGCGTGGGGAGGGTGTGGAGAAGAAGGCAGATACTCGCGAAGAGGACAGCGTGCAGGACTTCCAGGTACACTCGCCTGCAGGGGAGACGGGGCTGCTGTTCTGCCTCCAGAACCCTCTGGACATGTGGGAACATAGACCAGGTCCTCGTCCCTGCCAGGCTGGGCCTGTGAGTGACTACTTCTCTGGACCACATGCCCAGGCCCCCTCTGTCCTCTCTACTCTCTATTCTTCCCATCCCCTGTACCCCCTTTCCTTCCCCATGGACCTTTGTCTCCTTCACCTTCCTTCTCCCCGCACCCCACCCTTCGTCCACATTGTCCTCCTGTCCCACCCTCTGCCCTCCCATTCCTCCACTCCCCCACCCTCCATGATGGCCTATCCCCAGCTCTCCCTTTACCTGTCCTATTGGCTGATGACCATCTGCTCTGCTGGGATGTTTGTTTCCTGATAAACAAGTCCAGGATGGCAAGTGTGACCTCCAGGACCTGCCCTTAGCCTCGCCTTCAGTCTTCTTCCCAGCACCTCCAACCTCTGTCCTCAGCCTCTTCCCTAGCCTCCATCCTCAGCCTCTTCCCCAGTCTCCATCTTCAGCCTCTTCCTCATGCCTCTGTCCTCAGCCTCCTCCCCAGCCTCTGGCCATGCTGAATCCTTCATTCCAGCACTGTTTTTCCCAGCACCATGTGGGCAGGCTCTGCTTGCTGCTCAGGCTCAGCCTTGGGGCCTCCTTCCCCATCAGCCTCTCTTGATCCCCAGCCAGAGGCATCTCTTCTCACATCTGGTGTTTAAGATGTCTGCTGATTTCTTCTGCACACGTGTGTGTGTGTGCATGTGTGTGCCTATGTGTGCGTGCATGTTTGGGTATGTGCATGTTTGGGTATGTGCATGTGTGTGTGTGTGTGTGTGTGCGCGCACACGTGCATGTGTCCTTGCCATTCCTGTATCAGCCCTGCTTTTGGTGTCTAGAGCTGTCACCTCAGTCTCACCTGCCAGGATGTTTTTGTGCAGTTTGTGTGATGTGGCAGGATCAAGGAACAGGTGGAGCCTGGATACTGAGGACCCACAGTTCTCTTCCTCTAGGGCTGGTGGGGTTTGGCTTCCTCTTGTGTAGCCCTGGCCTGTGTGGCCGTCGTCCTGATGTTGTCACATAACTTCCTCAGTGCAAAATCAGTGTCTGTCATGTGCAGCGCCGTGGTCCTGTTCATGGGTGAGGAGCTGAGACCAGGACCACGTCACGTGGGCGTCTGTGTCGTTATTGGCTTCACGTGATTAAAATACATTTGTAGTAAGCAGACTGTGTTCATTCATTCATTCGACTAACATCCAGTGAGGAGGCTGTCCTGGGCCAGGGACATAGACCAGAGGGCCTCCTCTGTGTTCTAACATGATGCACAGACAGGGTGGGGAGTGAGTGGCATGCTTCTGCTGTGAAGGTCTGTGTGAGAGGAGGGACCGTCCACACAGACTGGGGCTGCCGTCATGCCTGAGGCTGGGTACAGATGGAGGCTGATGGGAGAGGGAGGCTGGAGCCCTGGAGACAGACGGCAGTTCTGGGACATCAAGGACATGTATGTGGCTGAGGAGAAGCCCTGCGGCCTTTGCCATCTTCCAGTCTGGTGTGCACGTTGCAGGCAGTAATGAAACATGAGTGGAGTAAGATGAGTGCTGAGAGACCCGAGGCAGCGGCCTACAGACTCCTGGAGATTACTGTGATCCGGAGACCTCCAGACCTGGAAGGGTGGCAAGATGGCTGACCAGACGGCAGCACTTATGGTGACTATGCCTGTGCCAATGCTGCATCCTCTCTCCGAGGGCTGCGGGGCATGTGGCCAGTCCTTGTCTTGCTGACCCTTGTGCGTCTGCCAGCATGTCAGTAGCCTGGAAGGCTCACTGTGAACATGGCTGCTCCTGGGAGGGGGCTAAAGACACATCTAGGGGCAGTGTTGGCCCTCGGCTGGATGATGAAGGCTGCCCAGAGCCCCGCAGTGCTGTCTGCTGGTGGCATCTTCCCAAGGAAGCCCAGGAGAGAAGCTTGAAAACTCCCAAAGCCTGTAGTGAGTTCTCTGGACGGGTGGGGATGGGCAGGGTCCTGAGCCTGTGAGTGGACCAGGGCACTCTGCATGGGGCCAATGTGGAAGATGGCTGCCCAGTGGCTCTGGGCTTTAGGGAAGGCAGGAGGTGTTGCCCAGGAGGCCATGTGAGCAGGGGAGGGGGCATCAACTGACGGTGCTGTGTGTGCTGCTTTCTCAGCCTTTTCCTCATGTTTTTTTTTTTTTAGAAGGCAGGATTTATTGAGAGGACAGAAAAGCTCCCATAGTGGGAGGCAACCCAAGGGGGTTGCCCACCTTTTCCTCATCTTTGTGATTTTCAACCCTTACCATGGGGATGGGGGATGTTGCCCTGTGCTATGTGGTATCTGCCCACCGAGATAGGAAGTGTTGCCCTGTGCTATGTGGTGTCTGCCCACAAGGATGGGGGTGTTGCCCTGTGCTAGGCAGTGTCTGCCCACGAGGATGGGGGTGTTGCCCTGTGCTATGCAGTCTCTGCCCAAGAGGATGGGGGGGTATTGCCCTGTGCCACATGCTGTCTGCCCATAAGGATGAGGGGGGTGTTGCCCTGTGCTACGCAGTGTCTGCCCATAAGGATGGGAGTGTTATCCTGTGTCACGTGGTGTCTGTTCACGAGCATGGGAATGTTGCCTCGTGCTACATTGTATGTGCCCATGAGGATAGAGATGGTGCCCCATCTGTGTGCTATGTGGTATCTGTCCACTAAGATGGGAAGTATTGCCCTGTGCTACACGGTGTCTGCCCAAGAGGATAGGGGTATTACCCTGTGCCATGTGGTATCTGCCCACGAGAATGGGGGATGTTGCCCTGTGCTACATGGTATCTGCCTACGAAGATGGGGTTTTGCCCTATTCTGCATGGTGTCTGCCCACAAGGATGGTGGTGTTGTCCTGTGCCAAGTGGTGTCTGCCCACAAGGATGTGGGGTATTGCCTTGTGTCACACGGTGTCGGCCCATGAGGATGGGGGTGTTGCCCTGTGCTACACAGTGTCTGCCATGAGGATTGGGGTGTTGCTCTGTGCCAACTGGTATCTGCCCATGAGGATGGGCGGTGTTGTCCTGTGCTACGCAGGGGCTGCCCATGCGGCGTCTGCCCACGAGGATGGGTTGTTGTTCTGTGCCATGTGGTGTCTGTCCATTAGGAAGGGGGGTATTGTCCTGTTCTGAGTGGTGCCTGCTCACAAAGATGGGGGGTGATGCCCTGTGCCATGCAGTGTCTGCCTACAGGGATGGGGGTATTGCCTTGTGCCACCTGGTGTCTGCCCACGAGGATGGAGGGTGTTGCCCTGTGCCATGCGGTGTCTGCTCATGAGGATGAGGGTGTTGCCCTGTGCCATGTGGTGTCTACCCTCCAAGATGGGGGTTGATGCCCTGTGCCTTGCAGTGTCTGCCCACGAGGATGAGGGTATTGCCCTGTGCCACCTGGTATCTGCCCATGAGGATGAGGGTGTTGCCCTGTGCCATGCGGTATCTGCCCTTGAGAATGGGGGGTGTTGCCCTATGCCTTGCAATGTCTGTCTACCTCACTGGCTTTGTCCTGTGCCCTTTTTCCTTGAGCCACCAAGCTCTGGTCATACCAGCTTCTTCCTGCTCTCAGGACAAGCTGTGTTCATCCCCTTGCATCAGGGAGTTTGCTCATGCTGTTCTCTCTGCCCTGAGGCCTTCTCTCCCTCCTCCTTACCTCCCTCCTTCCCTTCCCTCTGTCTGCTCACAAGGCAGGTGTCTTAGTCTACTTTCCATTGCTATAAGGGAACAGTTGAGGCTGCTGATTTATAAAGGAAAGAGGGTTATTGGCTCACGGTTCTGCATGGCACCAGCCTCTGCTTCTTGTGAGGCCCTGGGAAGCTACAATCATGGCGGGAGGGGAAGGGAATCTGGCATGTCCCACGGCGAGAGAGGGAACAAAAGGGAGAAAGTGTTGAACTTTTTAAAACACCAGCTTCCATGTGAACTCATTCATGACCATAGGGAGGGGCCAAGACCCTCATGAGGGACCCGCCCTGTGGCCTACACCCCAAGGCTCTGTCCCCCATGTGGGGACCACATCTCAAGATGAGACTGCAGGGGCAGCATCCAAGCCATGCCAGTCCAGTGAGTCGTTGCTCCTCCTCTGCATCTGACTCTCTGGGGTCCTGCCCTTGGAAGCCTCTCCCCTCAGGTTAGGTGGAGTCCTCTCCTGATACCACTTTCACAGCAGTTGTCACCATGTGGTGGTTGAGTCTGCTGGAGCTGGGAGGCGGCCCTGGTGCAGCTGCTGGGCCATCAGCACAGATGTCTGTAGAGTGAATGAGCAAATGAATTTCTATTTTATAAGTGGGGAAACTGAGATATGGAGTGGTGATGACTTGCCCACAGAGAACCCCAGGCCTCTCCCCATCCTCCTCCCACTGTGGGGACTGGGACCCCAGCCACAGTCTTATTCTTCCCTTGGGCTTGGGGGGACATGCTCACCCTCCTACCTCCTCTCAAGGGCGTGGCACTCAGGTTCCTGCTGGAAGAGTGTTCCAGAACTGCTCTTGGGCCCTCTGTCATTCAGGCTGAGGGTGAGCCTGGTCACTGAGGCCACAGCTTCGCCATACTGTATGCAGCAGTAAAGATGGTCTCAGCCTCACCTTACTCACCTGTGGGTGGGATCTGGTTTCCATGCTGTGAGGTGCCTGGCAAGATGGTTGGTGGGAGAATTGGCACTCACACTCTGAGCTCTATCATGGCCGTGCTGAATGAACATCTGCTTCCTCTATGACAGTGGGCTGTCATGAGCACAGCATGCAATGCAGGACTGGCTCAGTGGGCAGGAAGGCACTGGCTTCATCAGACAGGGTGAGGTGCATAGTGGGAGGGAAGTACTTCCTGTGTCCCACATGGGAACACAGGCAGTATTACACTGAGGAAAGCATTTTCTGATCCGACCTCCTGGCCTTGCATAGCAGTAGTCCCAGGTGGGTGGTCTCTTGTTAGAAAAGTCTTCTGGGCCTCAAGAGCAGGAGGGCAGTATGAAGGGAGATGTGGCTGGGGAGTTCTGGAGGGTGTTAGCACCAGGACATCCCCAATGGCAGTATCCTCTTCACTTTTGAAAACAAGGCAGAAGCTCCAAGCCCCACGATGTCCTTCCTGCTGTCTCTCACCTCTCTTGCTTTGAGTAAACCCCCAACCCCCCTATGGTATCTCCACACTCTCACCTCCCCTGCTCCTTGTCATTTCAGAGAGTTCTGGAAAACGATGAGAACGTGGAGGAAGGGAACGAAGAAGAGGATTTAGAAGAAGATGTTCCCAAGCGGAAGAATAGGACCAGAGGCCGGGTGAGTGGGGTGGCTGGACACAAAGGAGTAGGGCTGGGGGTGGGGCCAGGCAGCGGGGATAGGAGGAGAGCATGCTCTGACCTTCCTCACAGAGGAAAACTCCAGAAGCTCCTTGGTCCCAGGTCACAGCCTGAAGAGTAGGAGCTGGTGAGAGGTGATAGGGAAGGTGGGGTTGGCAGG